GAAAGCAAAGATAGTACCAGTAGTAATAGGTGTCTTGGGTGCAATTCCAAAACATCTGAAGTACCAGTTGAAGACTATTGGCATTGATAAAATCACCATCAGTCAATTGCAAAAGGCAGCTTTACTTGGAACAGCTTACTTCCTGCTATGATACCCTAAACATCATCAAACAACAACATCTGCCTATCCCAGGTCCTTGGGAAAGACTGGATAGGTGGATAAAAATGCCAAATCCAGTCTAAACATCTGGCTGATTGTGCAACCAACAATAATTGCGGAAGAGGTCTATTAGCATTATGTCTGTTTATGTCTGAGGTATTCTGTTTCCCAGGACTTTCTTAAAAATGTTGAGGAGATCCAAAAGGCTGAAATAGGAGGCTGGGGTGGAAAGTATCAGTGAATGAATGGATATGTTCATGCCATTTAAGATCAAATCCAGTGTTAACTGTAATTTCTGCATGTGTTCATTTGTGTTTGTTGCTAACACATCTACAGCTTGGGAAAATGAGTTGTTTTCATCACCAGGATACATCATGCATATGAGTTCTGTACTTGCTTTGAACATCAAAATTCTATTTGCAATCCAGTGCATTTGCCTAAGAGGATCCTACCAAAATAACTCAACCCCTCTGAAGTAATAACAGAGGAATATTTCTCTCTGAGAAATTCTGCTCAAATTGCTGAACTTCATTCCTTAATTTTGTTTCCTTCTTTTACCACAATATTGGCTACAGTGACTTGACTGTTGGCAAGCCCAGTGTAACAACATTTCAGTGCCTCCTTGTAATCACCATTTGCCATGAGTCATCCCTTCAGATGGATATTTGTTTTGAATATTGTAATTGTGGAAAGTACATTGTGGACTCCATTCCTCGCTGCCTCATCACTCCCTATCATATGACACCTCAGTTCTTATTACTGTGAGTGGGACAATAGGAGGAGGTATTATTGAATTCATAGCCTTTTCAGCACCACTACTAAGCCTAACTTGGAAGAGACATCAGATCTGCCTCATTGGTATCTGCTTGCCCCTTAGTAGCACCAAGAAAATTATTCACTAAGATAAATTCTATGCAGACTTAACGCATACCTCCTCAAGAGGCACCAATCCCAGGATTACCAAGATATATTTTTTTCTGAATACTACAATACTACAATACTATGTTCTGGGCTCCACTATAGTGGCTCCTAACTTTGCTTTGACATTATTTTTATGAGAGCTTCTAAACAATTGAGCAAATCCTTTAAATGACAGAGGCTTTAGAACTGGAGACAAAGTGGCTATAAACAATCAGTTCCTATTGTTACTGATCCTGTGTTTGACTTTGTTTATGTGGCCTCTTGACCTCAAGTCCTATGTACCTAGCCCTTCTAGGCATGGCCAGAAACCCTGGGAAAAGCTCTTATTAAATCCACCTATTTCAGAGCACTGAGAGCACTTACTCCATACAGTATTTGTGAAGGTCGCACAGAAAGAATCTTCCCCCAAATCTCCACTGCAGACTGGGTTTTATTCTCTAGTCTTCCAAGCCTTTTGGATCAGGAACTATTCAGCTTGTATAGAATTCTATCAGTTCTTCTGATAGGAAATTATTCCTATACATGAGGATCAGTTCTTTGTATGGGATCAATTAAGCAATAACCCAAAGGACAATGTGTAGTAATCAGATTTGTCTACCAATAAACTAGCTCCACTAAACACATTGTGACTTGCTTTTCTAAGATCATGGTTGGTCCTATAGCAGTGGCTAAACATGCATAGCTAGCATCTTTTCAGTGCCAAAACTGATTATGAACTAGAACTCATTCAAAAATATGTTACCGTGATAAAAGAAGTTCACACTGATTTGTTTACTGATAGTAGGATGGGCTAAGGTCTCATATAACAACTTAATTTCCTTATTCCCACTATGACATGAAGGTCAGGGTTATAAAATGCAGCCGTGCGGGCAATTTTGGCTGCCCCAAAGATGGCACGTTACACCTTTGCTGCGTAAGCTGCATTGGGTCCCAGTTTGCTTCCAAGTCCAATTCAAGGTGTTGGTTATCACCTTTAAAGCCCTACATGGCATGGGACCCGGTTACCTGAGGGACTGCCTCAGCCCCATTATATCGACCCGTCCCACCCAGTCAAGCAGAGAGGGTATGCTGAGGACCCTGTCAATGAAAGAATGTTGACTGGTGGGGTCCAGAAGGAGAGCCTTCTCTGCTGTGACCCCCACCCAATGGAATACCCTTCCCCCAGAGGTGAGGCAGGCCCCTACTCTCTTGTCCTTCCAGAAAGCAGTCAAGACCCAGCTCTGCCAATTGGCATGGGGTGGGAAAAGGGACAACCAACCTTGGGAATAGCTAGCACCTTGAAGATGCTCCCATATGTTAACATCTTTACAATCACCAGCATCTTGGAAGATATTATTATTTATGTATGTGTTTGGGTTTTTTTTTTACTGTATTTTTTTACTGTTTTTATTGTATTTTAATTAATATTTATTTGTTGTTTTATTGTAAACTGCCCGGAATCACTTCCTCATGAGATGGGCAGTGTTTAAATTCGAAATATAAATAAATAATTTACAACTGTTCCTTTTGCCAAAGTAAATGGCATCATTTGTAAAAGCCCTCAAGCCAGGGTAAGTGCTATATTGCTTCTGCCTTTTATTTGTGTCACTTTGAGTACAGTGGAAAGGGCTTATCAATCTGCCACATGTACTCTAAAGGAAAGATGTAAGAACCTTTTAACTCATAGAATCATAGTATCGTAGGGTTGGAAGGGACCTTGGAGACTCACTGCTCATTGACTGGCAGATGCAATTTCAACTGATTCAACCACTGTCACATTATTCCTCCCTGGGCTATATTATACTTTATAATTTACAATGGATATTTGGATAAATTCAGTGTTGGTGTTGTGTACTAGGGTGGAGGTATGGTTCTTTCCTGCTGAAAGCTCAGATCTACAATATTCTGAATGATGGTCCATGCAAGGACAGAATTCATTGGTATTAGATGACTATCTAAAGAATTACAGTTACCTAGAGAATTACAACAACCTGTTCTTACCATTATTATTCTATTTTGTTACTATTATTTATACTATTGAAACTAATTTGTACCAAAGAACACTTGGAATATTCTGACTACCCAATATGAATTAGTTATGCCATATCCATATACAAAGAATGCATGTGTTAAAGAGAGAGTTATTTTCTTCTTTCCTTAAAACCAGGGAACCATTGGATTAAAAGGAGACCGTGGACTCCCAGGAATAGGTGGTTTTCCAGGACCCCCTGGAGACAGAGGTTTTCCTGGTCCCCCAGGAGTTGGGAGTTCTGGACTACATGGTGACAAAGGGGAAAAGGGGGTTTCTGGAATCCCTGGGACCCCAGGACTTCCAGGTAATGCTATTACAGTAAGGTAGACACATATTTTTAAAAATGGATAGATAGTACATGCCACTTTCTGCAGTGATTAAAATGAATGTTACATTATCTGTGTGTTATCACAGACATAGCAGCAAAATTGGCAGGTATTTATGTAATATAGTGATTGCCATTGTGACTCAAAAAGACAAATTCTTCAAAACTGTCATCAGACTGAAGAGTTATTTTGATAAAACAATCCACAAATTATTTTAGCAAAAGAAACAAAGAAACCACTGGGAAAAAAGGGCTAAAATGAAATATTCAACTCTTATAACTTGAAAATCTATACATTAAGTTCTAAAAAAAAAATTCATGTCTCTGAGTAACATTCTTTAAATATGTGATTTCCAACTAGTACCACTTTATGATATCTGCAAACTAGGTTATGCAGTTCCAGTGGAGAACCAGACAACAGTCCCTTATAGTTCCTGATTCAACTCTACGGCTGTTATCCACAGCAGTGTTTCTCAACCTCAGCCACTTTAAGATGTGTGGACTTCAATTCATGCTGGGGACTTCAGACGTGCTGGCTAGGGAATTTTGGGAGCTGAAGTCCACACATCTTAAAGCGGCTGAGGTTGAGAAACACTGATCTACAGTAAGATAGAACGATGGCTGGGTGGGTCTTATCAAAGCTACGTCAGTCCTGTCTCCAAACAAAGGGCCTCACCTTACAGTTGGCTGTGAGGAAGTAGAAAATGGAAAAGGTGCCCAAATACTTGAAGAAAGAAAGAAAGAAAGAAAGAAAGAAAGAAAGAAAGAAAGAAAGAAAGAAAGAAAGAAAGAAAGAAAGAAAGAAAGAAAGAAAGCAGCAATTTAGCACCTATTGTACTAAACTGCTGTTGCTATCTATCTACTGTATATTGTACTTCTCTTTTCAAGTATTTGGGCACCTTTTCCATTTTCTACTGCTATATGCACAAAATATGCACTTATTGCATGCATATAAAATGCATCCATGTATTGTATCTCAATATACAAAATGACTGTGGAGTATTTGCCATTAAGATGATGGGATTGCTCTCGTTCCTTAATGGGTCAGACAAACAGGGATGTGCAACACTTTCCCTCTCTTAGTGTTCCTCATCCATTATATAAACAAATAAGACACTTGACTGCATGTGTACTTTTGCTAAAAGCCAGTGACTTCTTAAAGTAGTAATCAGTAACATATTCTTCATGCAACTGTTGTAAAAACAAGAAAAAGTACATTGATGTATAAAACATTAGCTACTCTACAAATAATTATATATATAGCAACATATTTCTATTTCTTTACAGCGGAGATGAACAACTTTTCTAGGTGCAGGGGTCATGTGTGGTGCTGGGTGCTGGGTACAGCTTGTACAAATATGAGTATATATATCTTCCTAGTGATAAGGATAGTTGGTGGTAATTATCCAGGGAGGTGGTGAACTCTTTTTCTGTGGATATATCTTTAAGTGGAGGCTAGACTGTCACCTCTCAGGGATGCCTGAGTTTGGACTCCTGGAAAGAGCAGGGGCCTAAGTGATACTCCATTGAGAGGAAGAGCGTTTTTGTTTGTCAAACGATTGATTGGTAGGCTGCTGGCGATATGAACAAAGCAGCAGCAGGAGGAAAATATGGGGGAGGGGAGGGGGAGAGAGAGTATCCACAGTGAAAGCAGCCTAGGGCTGCAGGTAACTGAACAGATCTCTTTAGTACTCATAATTCCCGAAGCATCTCATTATTATGTTGCTCTTGATTTTGCCATTTTCCTTAAAGCTTCTGCCTACAAAAAAAAGCATTTGGATGGCACTCCAAAGATACATAAATCCAATGTTTTCATGCCTTCTGTTCCTAAAATATAATTAATCCAAGTATCCAGGATTTGTATTTCAGTGTAGTTACAGAATTAAAAATAGACAAACAGTACACAGTCAGCAGGACTTGCAATGGATCTCAGTGACAGGCAAGCAGAAACGCTGATTCCTGTATTGGAAATTCATGTGACAGTTACCTCTTCCTATTCAGAGAACAAGGGAAATGATTTTAAAATTTCAGGGTGATTCAACATCTTTGCCAGTGCAAAAATCCCAACTAAGATCTTGTGTATATTCACTTTCCCTTTTAGTTTTAGGAACACTGTATTGGGGTAGTTTTAGATATCAAATGCTAGAACAAAAATCTCAACAAACATTTCAACATGGAAATATTAGATCCATAATAGGTCAGGAGTTCGGCTCACCAGCTCAGCAACGCATGTTTTTCCATGCTCCTGCCCTTCAAATTTTAAATAGTATATTTTAGCTACTTTTTTTCTTTAGATAGTTTTTAGTTAAAATAAGTTTATTAGGTTATTGTAGATTTTGAATTAGTGTCTGAGTCGATTAGAACAATATGGGAAAAAGAAAGAAGCGTCATGGAATTAGTCCAGGCTCTCTCCCCTCTCCAAAATCTGCTAAACAACCAAAGATAGAAGAACTTTTTACACAAAAAGAAACTGTAAGTAAAGGAAATCTTCCTTCCACCTCCAACAAATTTGCAGCCCTTGAATGGGACTTACAAACAGAACTGGAAAAACAACAGCTGTTAGAGCTCTCATTATCTATCAGGGAAGAGCTAAATGAAAATTCGGACTCCCTTTCAGTCTCTCACTGTATGTCCCCAGAACTTGTTAGTTCTCCTAATAATCTCAAGGGAAATAAAAATAAGTTTAAAAATAAGATACAAAATCAGAATTTGGAGAGGCTTCCATGGGAAAATACAACGGAGTATATGGCAAAGCAATGTCTTCTTACAGCTCAAACTGTTATTTCACTATTTGAGCAGCTGTCAGCTATAAAATATGACTTAGATCTGCTGAAAAAAGAGTTTGAGGCTTTCGCTCAAAAGTATGCATCTGGACCTGCCACATCCATTAAAATTAATGCAGAAGCTCTGGCAAAGCAAGATATTCCTGGTGTGCGCTCTGATAAAGGGCGAGACATTAAAGTAAAGCAAACTGACAAAAGTGTATAACGACTAAATGACTGTACTAATAAATCCTCACTCTCTGATAAGTTAGTCTCATACAGTCTAACATCTTTCTGAATACAAAAGAGGAAACTTCCTGCAAGCAAAACCGCTTACTTCAGACCCAGCAGGTTGCTCTCTGTATCTCCCTGAATAGTCTCAATACTGGATGTTAGGATTCAAGGAGACCAATCAAAACTTCCTTAGGGCAACTTCTGCACTGTCATTACAGTCAGATAGATTTATGTGACATTGAATGGCTCCCCCCTGTACAAAACCATAAATGGATTTTGCTATCTTTTAATTAGACTACTATTCCATTAATGCTATTTAAGATGAGACCATACTTAACATCATTTCAAATCAGAGTTTTTCATGATGTAAAAATTAACTCTTTATCTGGCTTTGCTTCATCTCGACTTCATACTCACTTAACAACTGTAACAGAAGCTAGCAAGCCCTCCTTCCCACACACGACCTTGAAAAAGCAAGGCAGTGGGAGTCAGCCACCCTTACAAAATGAAGATATGTCAGATTTAGCTGAAGACGATCTTATTAATGCTTTTGGGTGTCTGCCCAGGAAGGAACAAAATAATATAATACAAAAGCTAGAAAATCTTAAGGAAACTTTACTGCTCACTATTGCTACTGCAGAACCACTTATTGAACTTGTGTCTCCAGATACTGACACAAATTGTCATTATTCGATGGACAGTGAAATTAATAGAAATTGCCACTCAAAAAACATTTTTTCCAGCCATCAGGGAAGGAATGGGGAGCCTGTTGGAGAGTACCAGCCCTTGCTTACTACTGAGGAGGAAGTGTTTCCCTCTTCACAGGCAGATGCTGAACAATGTTCTTTGGATCTCAGACCTTCTTCACAGGACGGCCTTTTATTACATCCCTTGGAATCTATTAGTCTTCTTCCCCAAAATTTATATTTGGATACTGTTACTGAAAACTCTAAAATCATCCAACTGGAAGTTACCCTCCAAACCCAAGTGGCATCACAACAGGCAACACTAGATGAAACTTCAACTCTGCCCCCATGCCAGAAGAAAAACTCTGTATGTACAGTTAATTTACTGATAGCACCTTCAGACTCTAAATGACTCTATCCTACCGAAGGGGGCATTTCTATCCTCTCCTGGAATGTTGCAGGCTGGAAAGCAAAGATGTTAGATGTTTCATTTATGGAATATATTTCTTCTTTTGATATTCTTCTTTTTCAAGAAACATGGGCTAGGGAGGAT